ACACAGCACGAACACCGTGCAAGACTCTGCGTTTGTAGAAGAAGAATTTTACTAAGTTAGAGGAATCTTAGATAGACATGTAAGCCTCAACGGCCGACGGACTATGCACGACTCTTTTGAAACAGACAGTTTCTAGATGCTGTTTAAATCAGCACCGTTAAACATTAGGTTTTGTGACAGTGAAGAGTTACAGAAAACACCAACTCCAAACAGAGCCTACAGTACGTTACCCTGACGACAGAGTGTAGTAAAACCACCCGAGTTTTAAACTATTGTTAACCTACAGGCGTGCACTCGATCATCGCGATCCCACTAGAACGCAACGTGCAACACGCATTTTGATCGCTGACTTGTCTAAATGCAGATAAAACAAATAGCTGAACTTGACATCTCTACTTTAATAAAAAAGGAAAAACAGCCTTAGAGTCCCAACTGATATCAAGAACTTCAGCATTAAAGCGTAAGTCTGTGTAATAAAGGTATCACCTCAGCAGCTTGTAATCTGTACCGATATCTATTCTGTTTTGGTTAAAAAGAAATCCAAATCGCGGTATGACTAAACCTGTTCCTGACGAAGGAAACCCAGGACAGAGTTATATGTAGGTAGACCTGGGAGACGCTCCCCCTTTCTACAAAGTAAAGGCCTTAATTTTATTGTTAGATTGATGTAATTCACCTAAATTTTAGCTGCATCGACAAGCAGAAAGCCACTAAACGATCAAAACAAGTTACTCGCGGAAGAGCTAACACTCATGCATGAGAGAGACGTACCTATATATGCTTAGACGAGCTTTGACTCAGCAGCAAACCTATTTCCTTACTCTGTAAACAAATAGAACAAGACAAGCTTTGACTTGCAGCAAATCTATTTCCTTACTCTGTAAACAAATAGAAGACGTGTAAAGTAAAGAACAGAGTTCCATGAGAAAATCAGCAAATGCCAAAACACATTTGCGTTTTACTGAATGCAACCAAAGTTCTTGAAAATCATAAAGTATAGGCGCCTCCTTTTAACCCCTTAAAACGTGCATGATTCATGTAAAATATACAGACATTCTTCAGGTACTGTTGAATTGCTCTGACACGCTCTGGTTCCCATGACAACAACTTGTCACAGGAAGTGTTACCTTGTAATGTCACTTTTGTAAACAAACCAGCCTGGGTGGCTAAGCTAACCTAGCCTAGCGACACTCTCTGGTTCCCATGACAACAACTTGTCACAGGAAGTGTTACCTTGTAATGTCACTTTTGTAAACAAACCAGCTTGGGTGGTTAGCCTAGCATCAAGCTAACTTAGGCTAAGCTAAACTAACCCAGCACTAAGCTAACTTAGGCTAAGCTAACCTAGCTTAGCATCAAGCTAACTTAGGCTAAGCTGAATAACCTCCACAGTTAACAGTTAGCATCATTTACGTGAACCCTTACCCACCGCTCGTGTTCCACAGTGCAAAGTGTTCTAGAATACTTTCTCAACACCAGTTAGGGTTTTAAATTACTCACTTTCCATGTTTACCATTCTTATTAGCTAAAGTTTACCTTCACAGGGTTAGGAATACTCCTTGCTAACCGTTAAGGGCGAACTTCGCAGATGCCTTGTTAATTAAACTTAAGTTTAACTACATGAAAACTGCGTGACTAACTACAGAATAACGCGTGTAACCGTAGGAATTTTCATCGGCATGTTGACTAAAGCTTTGGAGGGACACACAATGTGGTTTTGAACACCCAACCGCTACAACCCACTATAGTGTTGATCAAAGCAAATCCAAAGTTTAGTCACTAATGCCACTGAACACTCTTGACCTCAGATCATTCCCGTGTTTTGATCACTTTATTTCCTTTTGCTTTAATTTTAATTTTATTTTGCCTCATTGATTATTTCATTCCTTCGACCTTGATGATAATAGCAAGCAGCTATTCCCTTAGGTCATCTATATGATTTAATTTCATTTCCTCTCTTGTCCAAGTGTGGTTCTATTCCCAATAGGGCCCAGAAAGGAAACAGAGACCCCCTTATTTGTTATTTTGGCTTAGTTTCAACCAATGCACTCGTTCGTGACCCTGCAACGCAAGTAATTTCAACAATTTACTAGGGCACTACTAGAGTCCTGAGGGTCGATAATAAGCAGAATTTAAATAAGAAAGCGGTCCTTTTCCTATTATTGTTCACTTCGTCGAGCCATAGTGGACCACCAGCTAAGTCCAGAGAAATAATTTAGTCATAAGGACCACCTTATGTTATTTATTTCATCTCGGATATGTCCTTTCCAGGAAATACGCTCGGAACCACACAAGACTTAGCCCTAACATGCACAGCTAAGATAAGGACACAAGAGACACTTAGCTTTATGCTAAACACTTAACTAACTTATTAAGCAGTAGTTCTGAACTTTTAGGGCCATGCATTAGTCACTCACAACAAGTGTGCCAGAATGCCACAGAGCCCCTGCTTAAACCGACCTCAACCTGCCAAGGAACCACTGCCCCAAACCACGGCATGGCTCCAAAAAGGATGCAACAAAGCTAACCAGAAAGGGCCCAAGATTCACTCAGGACCCTGCATCTACCCACGACATGCAGACAAGACTTTCACTTGCAAACTGTCTAACCAACATGACTGCATGAAACAGATTCTGCTTGATATGGATTACGTCCAGTCGCGAGGTGCACAGCTTCCTAGATCGTCAAACAGAGACTGTCAAAATGGACTACCAGCTGTTGCAATAAGCTTTGATCGCTTAACTCCCTGATCCAGAATCAGACCAAGGGTTATCACCACCGTGGACATCAAGTAAGACCGACTTGAAACTCCACCGACTTCGGCAAGCCTACTTCGAGAAGCAAACCATCAGGTATGAAAAGGATACCAGTTTCAGAACTTTGTTCCCTTAAAACCTGCATCCCACAGTGAGTTAGTCGATAAGCACCCTGGCCTGTGCTTGTAGCCTGTCTACCTCAGCTACGAGACTGGGCCCGCAAAGCTCACATTAAGCAAAGACTTTGTCCGAAAAGACTGTGTAAAAACCCTCAGACTAACCTGTCTCTGAGCACGACTCAGAGCTGCCCCTAGAAGGCACCCCATACATCACAAACACCTTCACTGAGAGTTAAACCGTTCCAGGCCAGCAGAGGGCAACACAACAGTCATGGTGCTCATCTAACGCCCCAGAGCAAGAGCTCTGAAACATTTCTGGAAGCCAGCCGGCGACCCAGAATGGACCGCCCAGCACCAAGAGACTCAAGCCCAACCAGCCCAGAGCGGTACCCTCTCAACACGCCACTGGTAAGCACAAGTCTGAGCACACATCAGATAACAACAGTGCAGCCACGTCACAGACGGCAGAAATCCTGAAGGTGCTGAAAGCGTTTCTGCACGAGACATCACAAGGAGACAAGTCAGACATCCTATGTCTCAGCGCAAGACCCAAGCCAGACACCCAGAACACTGCTCGTCAGCATCAGACCACAGAGCTCACTGTCGCATCACAAAGCGACAACACCAAGCAGCCGCTACAACTGACAGCTGCACAACCTGAGCATGACAGTCCGGTGTCCCACAAAACACCGGCCCTAACCGCTCATCGATCACAACACCAGCCCAGATGCCTAAACTTCTGGGAACCCTAAACAAAAGGGGGTGGCCCAAAAGACTCTACATAACCACCACCAGAGACAATCATTTGAGCCTTGAAGGCCTGTCAGACACTAGCTCAAACATCACGCTAATGTCAGCCCAACTCTTCGAAAGACTCACTGCTAAAGCTAAGAGTCAAGAACGCACTCTCAAAGCCCAAACATGTGAGCTGAATGAAAACCCTACAGCCAAAACAACTTCTGGCTCAAAACAGGTAGCTCCCATTCATCCATTTGGTCCTATGAGCCTGATTCACCCAGGGTACCGATCAAGAACGATCACGTACCCACTTCTGATTGCCCAAGATCTGTTAGATCGCTTTGAGCCTTTAATAGACTTTAATCAACTGAATGCCTGAGCTCAAGTTCAAGAACCCCTCCCCCTCCAGTCATACAGGTCAAGAGAACCTAACTGGCAGGTCACAGAGGTCACAAGAACTCCCGCAGCCAGCCATGAAGGCACAGCCTCAGCACCAAATGGAGAGGTGAACTTGCTACTCTGCACCTTTCAGCTCACTAAAGACTTTGACTAACCAAATGAACTCTGAAACTACCACCTCTTTACCCCTCCAACCTCCCAAGCCTGCCGTCGGACACATCAGGCAGCACACCAAGAACATGCTGCTCAACGGCCCTACAACTCAGTTTCATGCACCTCGTGACATCACTTCGCCACGGCTTGTGCTGCCACGGTGCAGAAAGGGGGATATGCCAGTGTATGCCCAGTCACGCACCATGTGGGCTGCACACCGCAGCACCAGGACATCTCGGCATCCTCAAAGGCATCAGACTGTCCCAGCCGACAGCCGCTGAATTCTTTCCTCCCTTTCTCTCTCTCTCCCCTGTCTCTGTTACAGGATGCTGCTGTGGTCGTCTTCCTGTGCCTCCAGCCAACCAGAGGACAGCTACTGTCGACCGCCTCACCGCCGGGTCCGACATCAGACAGCATATGGTCGACTGCCACGCAAGCAGAGCTAAATGGACTCCCACGCGCTGCTGTCAGTACGCAGTCAAACACCGGCCTGTCCAGCAACCAAACGAACTGAAATCCCACAGCCAAAAGGTAACTCACAACACAGAGTGCCTCCTCACAGACCATCAAGAAATTGAAAGGAACTGTGATAAATCCGCAACGCACACAGCATTCTACTGAACCAGACAAGTGAGCTCCAGCGAGACAACTGTTCACTGTCTGCCAGAATGACTTTGCTAAAAATTCACCAAGCAGCCTTTGCTCCAAGACCCGAGCTACCCTGCTGCAACCGAGCGTGAGTCAAGTCCAGCCAGGACGAAACCCACGATTTCACCCTGATTCCAGAACTGGAATTATGAACGATGATAGAAGGGGTCCAGCCAAACTGGACTTGTTCCCAGTGACCGCTGTGTCTCAACTGCACACCTGTTGCACTGCACAACTGCCTCACCGGTAGTCCAATCCTGGACTGCAGCTGATTCTGCACTGGGTACCTCTACGGTAATCAACCACACCCTGACACTTGACATCCACGCTGCACAAGAGGCAAGGAAATGCAAACCTCCAACAGCCACCACGGG